AATGAAGGATATCCGTATATAGTTTGTATATCTTCCGTATATAGTCTGCATATCTCCCCTTTATAGTCTGTATTGCGAGACTATTGCACTGCTAGAATATATACACGAAATATCTATACGGAATATATACAAAATAACATACAATACTTATATATACACAAAATATATACACGTTATAAACATAGACATCGGCAGCTAATGTGGGACAAAATCTCAAATCTGATTGTTCATCTTCTTCCTTGCGCATATCCCGTGTCCTTTCACATTCAGCCCGCTCACCCCAGTCGAGTTTTATCCGGCGACCTGCGAGCAGCACGCAACGACCCTCGCACCTTCAGACAAGTACGAAGACGTCGCACAACCTCAGGCTTTTTCCGTGCAGCGCGCGACCGATGAGATGCAGTCCGACATCATATGGCCCTTTCAGACCAGTCTCCCGCATCCCGCGCATCAGGCGACAGCCAGAAGCTTTCGTGGAACCGTCGCACTTGACCGTGGAACCTCTTTGCACGCAGCCATGGACCGTCGCACGCGGCCTGAAGCTTCTCGATTGAGGGTGACAGTGATGTCAATTCTTGGACTTTACGATGTGCAGGGATTGGGGATTTGGTAATGTGCACGAATTAGGAATTAGGGATTAGGTACATGTGCAAATATATTTGTTTAGTTATGTAGATGTGCAATTAAGATTTCTCTAATTGTACAATTACAATTATTTTCAAATCACATGGTAAAGATTAAAATTGGCCATTATTTATCATTACTCGTACGTAAATTCACCTATTTTGCAAGTCTTAGCAAGTGGGCTCCAACTCAAATCCCCAGCTTTTGTGATTTAGTACCACTAATGTAAGTCAGCAAAACCAAGAAATAATTTCGAAAGGTTCATTCAACTAGAAAAGCATAAGCTTCGTTAAATACAACAAAATGTTACGAATTTCAAAAGCGAGTGTAAAAGGAAGGGCAAAATCATAAGCTTTCTAACTATAGCAAGAAATGAACACCCCTAAATAATGTGTGGCCAACAAACAACATGAAACGAACCCCCCAAAATACCCACCAGTTGCCAAAGGGTGGTGATGTAGATCATCATGTATTACTGTTTTAACTAAATGTAGCAACAAGTCGTGCTCTGTTTGGTGGCATATATATCTGTCTTTGGAGAAGTTATCTGATTTCAGCAATCCATGAGTATAAGGCGTAGAAATAGCTAGTTATGCCCCTGATGCAGGTTTCTGGTTTCTAAGCCCAAACAAGTTTTCGAATAATTTAGGAGCCATAGGTGGGAGGTTCATGGGTCGAGGGGCCATGAAATTGACAATCTTTTCATGTACCTGATACCTGAATAAAAAATCATATGTAAGGGACAAATAAAGTCCAAATTGGATGCCTTGGATGCAGCCCAAGAAAGAGCCTAAAGCCATATATACTCAGAAATTCTATGGCGCCCATATGGGCACCATGGCGCCATAGAATTTCTGATATATACTGCCCCATAAAAGTAAAAATTCAACTTACCTGATCTTGCGATTCTTTGAAGCACGACGGTCAACAATTTTTCTCTTCTTAGTTTGCAATCTTTTCAGAGCATAGAATGCCGTTTCTGTCAACAGCAAGAACATATTTTGGCAAATGTCGACTCATTATTATTTATGTTTATTTTTAGTGTTGTCATACTTTTCTTACTTAAAATGAGATGCCGAAAGGTGCAGGAAGAATTCACATTCATTAGTTACAAAGGGTAATGACTACTTGATATGCAATTCAATGAAAATGAAACAGAACTAGTTGTTTCAATAAAACACCAATTTGATACACAATTTTCATTGAATGTAGTAGACCAGGCATAAAGTCGTCAATTTTTTATAATTGCTTTCATAAAATCCCATGGTGTGCTAAAATTAGCGTTTTGTCTACTTTTTCTAGTGATAATATGACCCAACAAAAGTTTGCAATTACTAGTTCCAAAGCAAGCCAAACTCTTTAAGCCAACATAAAGCATAAGAAAATTTTGAAAATACCTAATATCTTATCAACTATGCAAAAATCCGAAATATTGGCATATAACACTTACAAGGTACGTAATACAAAAATATATATTCATTCTATATCTTTATAGATTAGAAAGTAATGACCAAGCTTTAACTAATAAATACCAGATGATGAAGGGTCAATTGTCTCAAAGAACTCTTTCAGTAGCTGCTGGTAAAATTCTGAGTCATCCAAAAGTTCAGGGTCACCGTTCACATAAGATGCCTGGTAATAGTATTTATGAAGTTCAAGTTAAGTATGACCAGAAAACCACTTTGAAGGCATGTTGGATGGTTACTCTAAGTGGATTAAATTCAGACACACATTATCACAAGTTATAAATAATATAATGAAAACTTATAAAGACAAGGAACCAATCTCTACATGATGATTTTTCCAAGTCCAACATTTTAAAATGACCCATTCAGAGGATAAATGTACTCATTTTTCCACATATCATCTTCTCAGAGCAAAATCATTTAATCCCAAATAATGCAGAAGTATGACAACAACTGAATAAAAACGTTAATTAATAACCTAAACATCCATGAGAAGGAGAAATAGTATTTCAGCAGAGAACAGTGATCTTTATAGACAATGATAATCTAATGTAACTTAGAAAACTACAGCAGATAAGCATATCAACATAAATGTAGCAATACCTCTTGTTTCATATTCTCTGTAGATTCTGGAGCCTGCTGAAAGCAAATGAAACATAAAAAATTTCATACATATATAGAAAACATGTAAAATATTAAACGTATTCAAATTTGGCAATATTGAGCAAGGTATTTTATCATTCCTAAAACAAACTAAGAATTAATTTCAAACTTACATTTCCAAATACAGCAACAGCTGCTCTATTCAGCTGCATCCCTTTAGTCATTTTACTAGGATCTCTCATATATGCAGCAACTTGTTCACTTATACTCTGAAGGGTTAAATCATCAGATCTTGTATTTGTACATATTATGCCATAAAATAATCTTAGCAGTCTCAAAGGAAACCTGATTAAAGGCATGTAATTTGTCTTTGATGGCAGCTGCACCAGTTGTCACCTGGGTCTTCCTCTGCCATTTATCAATTGATTTGTTTCTAAAAGAGGCCATTCTACCACACAACACAATTTAACATTAGTCACAATCACGACACAATCATAGCCAAGATAGTGATAATTAAAATATTGTCTGTTTTTAACTCACTGAAAGAATACATCAACTGAGTTTTACTTATAATGAGATCCAAATGAACAATTCTTTAAGTCAAAGTGTTCCTATTGGTTGATTTTGTCAGAAAAGAAATGTTTTTGACCACACATGTTGCTCCCCCGCATTGCAGCGATAGTCATCAATTACAAGACATAAGGAATGCTGATTAAAGTATGGGAAATAACGACATAATTATTAATTGCCAGCCTCAGACAATTAGCAAATCCAGTCTATGCCTAGTCTCCAGAGTAAAACTGGCAGATCAATGTGATGAGGACTAACGAAAGAAAAACATCATTCTTTTTTTTATTGGGGTTAGAGTGGGGGTGTAATTGAAGTACCTTGATTGCATTTGAGAAATCTTCAGCCACTCTTCATCAATATCCCCATTTGAGTCACCGGAAGCACCAAGTTGTTTGGAATCTCTCAAAGAGTTACCTAATAAACAACCATCATCCTTGTGTCAGGACACACTTAAGATCACATGGACAGTTATTATCTCTATTCTCTAGATTTTTTATTTTCTTTCGGGGTATGGAAAAAAACAGAAATTCCATGTAATATATTGGCCTAAGGAACAGGTTTGATAATGGAAGGTCACTATCTAATGCGCTTGGATCTTGAAGTACAGTAAACATTAGATTTCAAGCTGTGCATCTTGAATTATGAAAAGTGAAAGTTTTTACAAATAATTTGGTTCACTGGAAACAGGGGTGCATATTGTGCAACTTGTGGGCTTCTATATATAATGCATTGGGAGGCAATAATATTATTAAGGTCATAGGACAAAAGAGAAAAAAAGGAAGCTTTAAAGAGAATTCTTATTCTTATGTTCTGCCATACAATAAAATAATGCTCATATCAATTCATGTGAGGCTAAACAATGGACCTTCCACCACAAAGTTCTGTGACATAACTGGAAACATGCATCCTACTGAGAAAAGATGGGAAAACGGAAATATAAACTAACATTCATACCTTCTCCAAATTGAGTAATTGCTGGATTGTTTGCCTCCAGTGCCTGCCAAAATTTAATTCAGTTAACTTCAAGAAAAGAAAAGTGAACATAACAGGCACAGATACACCTTGCAAGAAAAAATGTATTAAGTAATTGGAATATTATTGCAAGGGAAGCTAATGTGATGAAGTACTTCCAACACTATCCAACCTGTTGTAATTCCAGTATAGAGTCCAAGGTCTTCTTTGAGGAATCAATCAAATCTGAATATGCTTCACTGGCATCACTATCCATGTCACAGAACAAAGACCTCACTGGTTCCTTCATATAACATTTTTTCTTTGATTATGATGTTTAAGTTCACTAAACACTATCAAATGGCATCTAGAATGGATTGACTCTCATATCAAACCTGTGGAAGTCTGTTGGAACTTGAAAAAGATTTTTGCAGCAAGAATCTGAATTCCAGTGTCTTGTCCCAGAGAGCCTAATAAAGCAAAAATGGACGAGTATATCAATATAAGCACTCAGTATGGCATGATGAAAATGAACAAATAAGAGCAGACAGCTAGACCAGCAAGGAACTAGGTGTTGGGGGGACACAACACAGAAAGACAGCACAGTTCTCTTCTTGCTAGTTCAGAAAACGCAAGTGACACAATCCCAGATAGAGAACACCAAGAAAATTGAAGTTTTCACAAGAACAAAAACTTAAGCTTAAATTAAGCTAGTGAAAGATCTTTGGATATATAACTAGAGAAATCAGACCAAATTCAGACCTAAAAATTCAGGGAAAGAATGATACAGATAAGGAAAATGTAAGGATCCGATGATGTCATACCCTTTGGTTTTTCACAGCTTGACCTTTTTGAAGATCCTCATCTTTATGGCGCCTCAAATTCTTCCACAAATTTCTGGAGTCATAAACCGTGAGTGAGTTAGCATAACAAAATATATTAAGATTTTCTTAACAAAAAGAGCTTTAGAGGAATGAGTAACTTGTTACATTTCTCGTAAAAATCTATTTCCAACCAATTATGAACGAACAGAGACCTCTCCGGCTAATAAACGCTTTAATTTTTACTAGTAATTGCAATTGAATTATTGCTCTTTAACTGCAGTTTATATCATTTTCAGAGTCACACTATTAAAGTAATTCTTCCATTATTATGCACTTTGTGGCTTGGTTAAAAAGTTTAAGAAAGTTGCCTTGAATCACAGTTTAATTATTGTCCAGAAAGAAACTAATTGAAGGATACAAAGCAAATATTAGAGAAGACAGCTCAGGATACTTACTGCTCCCTATTTCTAAGCTCTCTATACTCTTTCTCAAGCTCTTCCATCTCCTCCCCTTTCAGAACATTTTTATCTTCGCTTACACCATCATGGCCCTCTTCTGAGCCTTCCTCTTCATTTTGCTCGTCCTCATCATCATCATCATTATCAGCACCATCTTCATCCTCCTCGTTATCATCATTAACATCATCATCATCATCATCATCATAATCATCTTCATTCTGGTCATCCGAATCCTCATCATGAATATCGAGGTCGCTATTCTCGTTGTTACCCACCTAAAATTCAGGGAAAGAAACACAGAAGAAGAAGAAGAAGGTTCATAAAAAAGAACCGAAAAAAATCAAGCTACAAAATTGGAAAAAGGGAGTTGATCCAACATGCACAATTCCATCCTCTATATCTCTGTCGATTCCCAAATCGCTATCACTCTCTCCCATCTTTATAGGTTTTTTCTTCCCCATTAGATGAAGGACCTGAACACACCAAAATACATTGCAAATCCAATTAGCAAACGAATACTAAGAACTACACCATGAACTTGTGGTCTCTTAACGGGGAACTTAAACTTCAATATGAAGCTAATTTCTTTTTAGTTTCTGCACAAGGGAATTTTAGGAACTAGGTTTAGGGTTTTAAAGCTCGCACAAAACTAAACATGTCAGAACGGGCTGTTTGGTGGGCCGGCGCGCCACTAGACGGACCTACAAAATGCCAGCCTCGCCCACGCCACGGGCCGTGGCTCTTAAATTATTTTTCAATAAAATTGGTAGCAATATAAAAGCCTCCAAGGCAAACAACTAAAAAATGAAGCATTATTGTCACTGTGGGTGTGCGTGCGCAGAAAACAATTTAGCAAAAATATACAAACAAGGAAAGTTCAAGCCCAGCAATATTTTGGGATGGGGAGAGCAGAAGAGAAGTACAGGGGAGTGACTGAAGCCGACGGAAAACTGTGCCAGCGCCGGGGCTGAAGAGGTGGGTGGCCGCCGCGCGATTTCTAATGGTGGTAATTTTTATGCCCTTGATTTGGGGCTTAGATTAGGCTTTATTTTGTACTGTCATATCTTCCGGCCACCAAATCAATTTGTACTTTTGGCATCGCTTGGGTTTAATTTTACTTAAATAGATGTCTAACACTAACACAAATATATAAAAGTAATAAAAGTAACAAAATTAAATAAAGTTAAGGGTATATCGGGTGTTTTTCGCTTGTTGTCACATCAACATGACTAGTCTACTTACACTTGTATTGAAGTATATATTTTTTTAGACCTTACTTCTTACGTAGCATGTATACTTTTTTGAATGAACCTAAGTATGTGGATGCTCTAAAGTGTAAACAATGTTCAAAAAGTCGATCGCCATGCAGTTGATTGCGGCGTAGCGACTAGGGCGCTTAGATGGAATCAAAAAAATTATTAATAAATTTATTTATATTTGTAATTATGCATAATTTATAACATATATTACATAAAATATATTAATTATCATGGTCCAATAAAAAGATAATGCAAAATTTAATGTATTCATAATTATTGTATTAATTGTGAAATAATTATTAATATTTTTATTATATAATTAATATATATTTCAAGATAAAAATTTGGATTGATTATAGTTTTTAAAAAAGTAAATTAAGATATATGAAAAAAAAGTTTGTACGCCGTCTAGTCGTGAGTAACTTCACACAATAGAAGTCTGCCTAATTGTTTAAGCGCCTAGAACAACCGCCTAGACAAAAGTCGTGCGTCTAAGTGTCTTCATCTCACACACGTCGGCGCTCCTCCCCCTCATCTCTGCCATGGAATCGCAACCCAACATCTGCCGCCGCATTGGCTCACCGTCGCAATCTGCTCTGGCACCACTTTCGCCGTCATACACACCTACCACAAGGTCGAGCCACCTTAATTTCTTCAAACACCTGCTCGTATGAAGGCGCTCACGCCCCTGTGCCTGGCAGTCGACAAGGGCCATGGCAGAGTCGTAAGGGAGCTCCTCCTGTCCGGCGTCGCGGCTGCGTAGTCCGCGCAGGACGCCGACAGAGAACCGTCGTCCACGCGACGACGATCAGTGGGAGGGCGACGGTGCTGGCAGAGATGCCCTGCCTGAGTCGAGTCGGAGCTAGTTCGGGAAGGGCTTGTAATTTGGGATTAGGGTTTATTTCTGAAAATTAGTACGATGTCGTGTACTACACGGGTACATAAATATATTAATATTTGTACAAACAAAAAATTAAATAATTTAAATTTTTTATTATGAAATTATTTATAATGAATATAAACAATAATAAATAACTAATAAAGTGATAACTAACTCAAGTGGCACCCATATTTTTTACAATAAAATTGTCAAAAATAATATTTTTAATCATATTTTAAACTTATATATGTATAAAACAAATATTATCTACAATCAATTTCATATATTTGATTCAATTTTTTTTAAAGAAAACAAGTTTTATTATATTATGACCGTATGTCTACACTAAGTTTTTCAAAAACAATATTTTTTAATTATATTTTTAAAATTATATATGTATAAACATATATTATTTACAACTCCATACATTTGAACAGGGACGGATCTACATTCACTCTAGGGGGGCAATGGTCCCCCCAAATATTTTTTAATTCCTTAGTACTATGTATATATAATATATGGTACTATGCATATTTAATTGTTTAACCCCTTACAAAATATATAAACTAAAGTAAATAATATATTAAATAAAAAAATTTAAACAGAATCATTTTTTTTAGGCGCATGATTCAACTTTTTTTTTTCCTTTAATAAGCAGTAAGAATATCTAATATAATAAATTAAATTAGTTAATTATTTTTTAAACTATTAAACAAACAATTAAAGTAAACCATATAAACGGCAAAAAAAGTTCACTTTTCAGCTACAACAAATTTATTTTATCCAAAAATCTGTGAAAAAATACATTAAAATAATTATTTTATGGTGTATTAATAAATTATTTATTTTTATAAAAATTATTTTTTGTTATTTGATATTTTCAGTTGGATTTGATAATAAAATTAGTTTTATTTATAAAGAGAGATGAAATTAGGTTTTCATTTTATATATACAATATAGATGTCAAATCGATGATCGTTAAATATTACTATTTTGATTTATCATAAATAAAAAATAAAATGCAATTAAAAAAGTTAAAAAGTTTTAAAAATAAAAATAATGCATATAATTAATATATGAATTAAATAAGATAAGGTAAGAGTAGTATATGGTAACTTAAGAAAAAAAAAAAACTAAAATAATTTATAGTAATTCTCAAGCTTAATAGTCAAAGCAAACTTGAATATGTGTCAATACGAAGCACAAATTTAAGTTAAATAAGCTTAAGAAGCATACGAGTCTTTCATTTGGGCTTAAAGCATTCAGTAATTACTAATTATATATAAGGGCAATTAAATAATTTTAAGCGACCTATTTGCAATTTCAAATTTTTTTTATTATATTTCAATTTAGGTAATGGGGCAAACCTGTAAGTTATAAAAAAATTAATAAATGCATATTAATGATAAGTAAAATGAACAATATATGTATTGATATACATATTAAAACATACATGTGATACATAATGCGGAATAGTGATAGACTAAATGCACATTAATAATTTCGAGAAATGCGCATTATCGTAACGGTGTATTCTACGCAATGACCACACGTGAAAAATCAAAAGTACATTGTTATGTCATTATATTGTGCATTCTCACATGAATTAATGTGCAATTCATTTGTCGCTATTGTGAATTCTGTATCGCGGTTAGGGGTGTGTAAAATTTAACCAAAATCGAAAAAATCAACTGAAACTGACAAAAATAAGAGTTCCCGATATGGTTTTTAATTTTTATATGTCGGTTCGATTATTAGTTTTAATTTTAAAATTTTGGTTAGGTCAGTTTGATTTTCGCTTTATTTTTAAAATAACTAAAATAACAGAACCGAATGAATCATATAAAAAATATTTTATTTTATATTATATACATATATATTATGTTTTCGGCCAAAAATAATATAAAATATTAAATACTAAATATATTTTTTATAATATAAATGACAATTTATTTTTATTATTTTGGTTAATTCGTTTAACCAAATCGAACAAACTGATTATTTCGATTCTATTTTAGTTTGGTTACGACAAAAAGACGTTTGTTCAGTTTTTGCGAAAGTTTGACCCAGTTATTTCCATTTTAACATACTAACCAGACCGACCAATGAACAATAATCTGCGCTTTGTAATTTTTTGAATTTTTAATGTGCATATACAAACACATTATATTGTGCATTGTACTTAAAATTATTGTGCAACTTACATATTAATAGCGTGCATCTATTAATTTTTTTTAACTTACAAATTTGACCAATGAATTAAATTGTAATATATTGAAATTTTTGAAATTGCAACTAAGTAGCTGAGACTTACCAAATTTTCAAAAGGAAAACCCTCTAATTCTAAATTGAAAAATCATGTTCATCGTCCAACCATTTCTGTCATCGATTGTCGAGGACATCGTTCTCTGGTGCTATCCCTCTCTGCCTCTGGTGTCGAGACATTGACAGATTCAGAGTTGTCAGTGGCGGGGTCGGTTGTCTGAAAAAGGGTGGTGACGAGTTTTCTGGTGCGGAGAGGCGGCATAGGTTGGAGGGGATGAGGCGGTCAAAGAGGACGTCAATGAGGAGGGCGGAGAGCCATCGTTTGGGACAATAATTNCTTTCAATTATTGTGTGTGTTTTGGCGTGCGTGTGTGCCGAGTATGTGCGTGCGTGAAGTGTGTGAGTGTTTGTGTTTGTGTGAGATAGAAGTTAGAGTTGGTGGGTTGGGATGGGGCCTACTGGGTGAGTCGAAATTGTTGCGAATGACCAATTTATGCTTAATTAGCGGACAAAAGTACATATTTGACCACGATATGCTCACTTATTTACAAGATTGTCACTACATGTTTGACTGTCATTTACTAAACTTTGATTTGATTATGACCGTTGTCTTTATGGATACAATGGTAGAAAATCCTTCTTAAGTCTTTTATTATATCCATTCATATGATCCTACTTTTTTCATTGTGTGTGTATGTGTGTATATATATATGTATATGGTAGTAATCAACCGTTGTATTTTATATTAATTAAGTAAATATTATATTTATTTACTATTATATCATATAATATTTATTATTAAAACTAAGTTATTATATATCATAATAAATTGTATACATAAATATAAAAAATATTATATTGCAAAAATTTTTATTCAAAGTATTTATTCTAAAATCAATATATAATTTTTACATTTCATTAAGAGATTAAAAAAATAAACTAATTGGTTTTAAAGTCACAGTGAAACCCTTTAAAATATCGTGAAAATAATTGCAGTTATAATTTTAATATTTTCGGCTAGTTCATTTATAATGGTACCTCAAATTTACAAAAAATAACATTATACATTACATTTTATGCAATAAGATAATTATAGAACTTTTATAATGTGATGCTATTATTTAATTTATGATTTTAATATTATATAATACATTTAACTTAGAATATTTTATTTGCATTTGTGCATATACACAAGATCGAGTACTAGTTTATTGTCTGATGTTGATTTAGTTAAGAATCACCTCAATTTTGTGCTAAGATAATAGTATAGTTTTTTTAAAAAAAGTATTCAATAACCAATCATATTAAACTGGACATGTAGCAAATGGATATGCAAAATTTAATATTTCCTCCTTCTGAAATATGAAAGTTTCGATTTATTTATACTATAATTGAAATAATAGTTAATGAATAAGAATGAATGTCTATATACGAAAAAACAGAATTACGTAAAAATTAAGTATTGAAATAAATTGAAGTATAAAACAATCAATAATAAAATTATTTAAGAATTTTTAAGCACAAGACAGTATGTACAAGAAGATTTTTGTAAAGAGATTATTTGAGACATAGTTTTCTACATTAATCATAAATAGAATTGAATAAGTGATGTACAAAGAGTCAAAGACTATAGAATTATTGACTACGATCTTGTACACGTACACAAAATCAAAGCAAAAATTTATATATTATACTCT